TCATCATTCCTTTGCCGGGGAAATCAATTAAAACTTAGTTAAAACTAATTTTACAACTGCTGACGCAATGCTGGGTTGTCTGCTTTCTGAAATTAACACTCTAGAGAGAGTGCGGGGTTCTGATATGATTCATTTGGAAGGAAATTAGACATGAAGATTGCAGTTGCCAATTACGGTGTGCTTAACGAGGATGCCCAATTGTATTCAGTCCATCTTGCTCCCAGGTAAATGTGCACAGGATTGTTCCATTCAGAGAAATGTACTTAGTGCCTTGGCAGATTGTTTTAAATAGAATATGCGACTTTGCTCACTCTGTGAGAAACAAAGGAAAACAGCTTTTGTTACTGCTATTTTTGAGGAGAGATCACAAGCTGTCATTTGCAAGTGAGTGTCAGGAGCATGAGATGTAAGGCAGGGTTTTTTTAACGTCATAACAGATAAAGCTTGCAAATACATGTGCTAATGTATGATAGATTTTGCAATCTGGACTCTGAGAACAGAGAGCTTCTTAGTCAGAGGAGACCTGTTGGATTAGCCAGAGGAGACCTGTTGGATTCTTAAGTGAGCACTTGCCAAAGACTCATTGACTCAATGGCTGGAAGCCTATTGCCTTGACTCACACACAGTATGCAATTCTCTGTTGCATGAGTGCTGGGACTTCTTTGGCACTACTGCGGTGATCTTGGACTACAGCTCCCAGAAATCCTGGCCAGCAAAATTAGTGGTGAAGGCTTCTGGGAGTTTTTGTATTTATTTCAAAGTGCCAACACTGCAATTAAAACCCAAATACTGAGGTTTTAGTTTAGAAAAAACAACTGCTCCTGCACCGCAAGGGTTAAATGCTTGTGTTTTTTTCCCTGTGGGAGGTATTAACAAAGAAATACTTACCGGTCCTCCAATCCCCCATTGGGCTAGACCAGTAATGGTTGCCATTGCACCCCCTCCGCTGGACCACTGCACCAGCAGAAGGGAGTGCCGAAATCCGGGATCGGAGGATGGGTAAGTATTTCTCAATGGTGACTTATGGCTTGGGTGCCCACAGAGAGGGCTCTGTGTGCCAGCTGTGGCACCCGTGTCATAGGTTTGCCATCGCTGCTCTAAGGGGACGGCATTCCATGACTGAGGTGCTACAGTCAAGAAAGCCCTCCTCTGGGTCTCCGTATGAGTTGTTCTGAGTGGCAAGACACAGAAGAGACCCCTACCCGCCCCATCAGATCATAGTGATTGGGCAAGTTTGTGCAATACCTGAAAACAACAATGGCTATGTTCAGTTTGTGCCATGATTAGCTATTCATTCATTTGTTCATGACATTTCCATTCAGTCTTGTATCTTGAGATTTCAGGTTTGCGCAACAATAAGAGACATGAAAAGTTGTATTCTTCCCCCTGCTGTCAACACGATTTGGGGCAATGGAACTGTTGGATAGCTCAATGGTTTAGGCATATGGCTGAGGAGCCAGAGGTTGGGAGTTCGATTCCCTACTGTGCCTGCTTTACAAGGACTGAACTCGATGATCCACAGAGTCCTTTCCAGCTCTGCAGTTCCATTTCCAAGCTTTACTCTAGATGGACTCTAAAGTGAACAATTGGGTGCAGACTCAATATCCCTATATCTTTAGCCTGGTTTATCAACAGAGACATCCTGTCTAGGTCTACTTGACCCAATGTCTGTACAGTAGTGCCTCGCTTACCGATTTTAATTGGTGCCAAAAAGCATCGCTATGGGAAAACATCGCTAAGCGAAACGTGATTTCCCATAGAGATGCATTGAAAACCGGATAATCCGTTCCAATGGGAATGGATTGCCGTCCTTAAGCGAAAATGGCCATAGGAAAAATCGCTAAGCGAAACGCGGTTCCCCCATTGAAATGCATTGAAACCTATTCAATGCATTTCAATGGGGGGAAAATTACAAAAAAATTCAAAAAGAGTCAGAACAAAGCCAAATTAGTTTAACAAAGGGTTTATTAAGTGCACTAACGATTTCGAGCACTCTAAACCCTTTTTAAACATTTTAAAACCTTTAAAAAACAGCGAACATGGGGCTGTCAAAACCATCGTTAAGTGAAACAGGGGGACCTAAACTGTCATCGCTAAGCGAAGCAAGGTCCCAAACATCACTATGCGAAATTCACCCATAGGAAACATCGCTAAACGGAGCACAAGATTGCTCCAAAAACCTCATCGCTAAGCGAATACATCATTAAACAAGGCAATCACTAAGCGAGGCACCACTGTATAGGATGCAGCATAACAGATAAGTTCTTTCACCCAATGTTATCCCTGGGTCAGTGTTTTATAATTTCTGCATGAAATGTAAGTAAAGAAGTGTTTTGTTTTTTAAATAAATTGTTCAGCTGCAGTTTCAGTCTTTCTGTTGCTTCTTGAGGGAAGAGGGTTTAGAAGGCTGACATCAGTTTCAAAACATAAATGGTGGCCGAACCATGGGTCCAAAGTGAAATATATATTCTTTGAATCAGGATGGTGAAAGAGACTAGATTCCTCTGTCATATTTTAATCTAGTAGAAACAGATCAAGGCAAAAAGTTAGAAAATTGTGCTTCCCTAACAGCAATACGTTTTTTTGGGGGGGCAGGGTCTCTTTAAGTCAAAGGACTCTGATTTTTTTGTTTTCTTTTGCATGAAGACTTGGGCTTTTTAATAATCTTCTAATTCAAGACTGGGTAAGACCCAGGTGTTTGTGAGTCATTTTTCTCTGCCATTATCCCTTTCCAAAAACCCAAACAACCTGTAAGGGATTGGGAAATTTTTTTTTAAGTCTCTTTTTCAAAATTGATTTTGTTTTGCAAGGAATTGGGGGGAGGCTTTGTTTTAGGAGAGATATGCACCCCCTAGAGACAAGATGCTTCTTTTTTCTTGAGCCCTTCTCCCCCCCCCTCCCAAACTTGATTCAATCCTCCTCCCTCTGTTCTGGGCTGCATAAAAACAACAGAGTATACTGAAACCTTTGAGAAACCTCAAAGGGTGGCTCTTCAGATAATGAGTCTGCTCCTAATTCCCTGTTATTATCAGTCTTGTAAATTAAAAGCCTCAGACCCACTCCCTTAAGCCCTGCTTAATGCTGCATAGGCATGTACTACTAGTTATTTCTCCAGTGACCTGATATTATCCTTCCTTTCTTTGTTTATTTTTGCTGCTTGGCGTTGCTGCATTGTGAAGGAGTCTTTAAAAAAAAACAACCACCAAAAAACTGTTGTTGGCCTAAGAGTTCTCAGATTAATGTTACGGGAGCCTAGTCTACCATCAGCTTCACTCCAGACATTTCACTCCAGACAGTTTTCCCTGAAGGTGCTATTTTTATCCTTTCCTCCGTCCTCACCATGCCGAACATCCTCAGCCACATTCATCTTTCTTTGCAGAAAGATCCCCCTGTGTACCCCATGGTTGCCCCTCTGTCCGTTAACACATTTTACTTTGTCCGTACCCTTATTTAGGTCTTCAAACCCATGTGGGATAGTCACGTATAGAGTTCTAGGCTCTCTCCATAAATCAGTCTCCCAACCCACGTAGAGAAACCCCTTAGGTAGCAAAGCATTTCTGTTTCAGATTCACCCTTCTCCACATTTAGGAGGATAATGAAATCAGAGATACAGGAGGTGCGGCTGAAGAGCTCCCATCTCTACACGGATATGCTACAAGAACTTGCAGACCGTGTTTTCTGCAGAGAACGGGGATGAATTTTGCATAAATTGAGCAGCAATCCTTCTTTCAAATTGCTTTCAACTGTCGGAAATCAACTACCCTCAGCTTCCATCCGTATATGCATAGCAGTGCATATAAATCTTGAAACCGTTTAGCTTTCACAGATAATAGAAATGACTTTGTGGTGATCTGTTTTGAATGTGTGTCTTGTTTCTCCTGTCATATGCCAAAGACTTGCCTTGGGGTGGGGGGACAGCCTCTGCCTGCTGATGAAAGGACTCCAGGGTAGGAGCCAGGATAGCACCCCCCTTTCCAAGAAGTGGACAAAGCCCCCTTCATTTTTGCTGACAGAATGTGCTAAACTAGTTAGGAAACAAAGGGCACTACTAATCTCCAATTAGAACAATGTTAGTGTTATTTTTCTTTCATTAATGAAACTAAATGATACTCTACTAGACAAATCCGAGTAAAAACACTAGCTTAAACTACAGAAGGGCAGCACATGTGATTTAATTTCTAGATTTGTTTATTCGATATATCCGAGCTGGCAAAGATACTTGTCTGAAATGTATTTATTTATTTATTCATTTAGTTATTTATTGCATTTATATCCCGCCTATCTAGTCAACGACCACTCTAGGCGGCTTCCAACACATAAAACAACAATCTAACAAAATTACAATATAACAAAATTTATAAACATCAGTATAAACAAATTATCCAAAACGAAAAAGGGGAAAAAGAAAAAAAAATCAGGTATTAACTGGAGGGAAGACCTGCGTAAACATCCAAGTTTTCAGTTGTTTTTTAAAAATGCCCAGCAAAGGGGTCGCATGAATCTCCAGAGGGAGGTTATTCCACAGGCGAGGAGCCACCACCAAGAAGGCCCGGTTTCTAGTTTTTTCCTTCTGGGCCTCCCTTGGTGTCAGGCTCCTCAGCCTCACCTCCTGACTCGATTGGGTGATACGGGTAGATTTTGGTGGGAGCAGGCGTTCTGCCAAGTATCGAGGCCCTAAACTGTTCAGGGCTTTATACGTAAGCATTAAGACTTTGAAGTCAATGCGGAATCGAATGGGCAGCCAATGCAAAGTGGCCAGAGTGGGAGAGAGATGCTGATATTTTCTCACTCCACCAAGAAGTCTGGCCGCCGCATTCTGCACCACTTGAAGTTTCCGCATCAACCTCAAAGGTAGCCAGCGCATTACAGTGGACAACCACTACCAGCCCATGTATACAGGGAGAAGCTGAAGGAACCACTGATCTGATGCAATACAGGTACCACATGTATTCCTGTGCCACACCACTCATTCCCAACCATCTGTTGTTTTCTCATTGCAGGTAGTGGTTCAGTTCCCCACTTCTTTCATATTATGAGGCGACAGTTTACGGAGGAAGAATGGAGGGTCATTACATCCATGAATAATGAGTGGCTTCAGTTGGATATGTTCCACAGACACTGGGTAATAAATCATTTTTACTGTAAAACATTTTTCCACATTAGCAGTCCAATTAAAATAGTCCCAGCTCAGAGCCTCCTCTCTGAGCTCGATTTCTTTAAAATGTATTCATATTTATCTGCCGCAATTACTTTTGTAATACATATTGTGAAAACCTACAAAGAGAAATCCTGGGGGATGCCAGATCCTCACTTTCATCCTTCGGTAGTTATCTAAAGTTCCTTTATTTGGAACGTTTGCATTCTGACCTTCCTTCAGAGGAAGACTGTTGTTGTGTGGGAATTTGAACCCAAGTCCCCTCAGTGTAGCCAATACCTTGCTACATGTGTAAGGAATCTCTTTCAGCCTATGGACCAAACTCCATTTGAAAGGATATGCCAGGGGCCATATTGCAGTGATCGGTGAGCCCAAAAGGAAATAAGTACACCCCAGAATACCAGTATAATTTAGCTACTAGCTTTTGGTTGTCAGTAACAGGATGCCAAAAGAGCCAGATTTGTCCAGAGGCCTTGAGGTTTCCCTCCCCTGGCAATATGGGTTGCCTTTTTTTATTCCATTGGTTCATAATTTGCTTTTATTTGGCCCCTAACTTCTAATATTAAAATGCCTCAATTCCTAACTCTAGGAATAAAGGCCAAATGTGTAGGTAGAAACAACACTTTTCCAGCAAAGCCAGCATAGAGTCCCACAAGGCTAACAAATGTATCGTAGCAGGAGCTTTTGTGCAGTGTAGCTCTCTTTTTGGAAAAATGTATGTTATGCTAACAAATGTATCATAGCAGGAGCTTTTGTGCAGTGGAGCTCTCTTTTTGGAAAAATGTATGTTATTTCCAACCCGCTCACCTACGGCTTCAGGATTTCTACAAATGTACGTCTCCATAAGGTTAGACTACAAAATGTTGGTGTGAGAGGCTGTTTGAGAATCATTCAAGTCTGAGCTTCCTTTGGGAAAAGTGGGATGGAAGTGTGATAGGGAACAAGTGATTGCATGGCAGTATGAATAATCAGCAAATATTCAAAGCACCCATTGATTGTCCTCAGATTTTTATGACAATTTCTGGTTAATTTAGTGAGTACATTACAGGAGGCCATCAGTGTTGCTCCATTTTCTTATACCACCCTGTACATGCATTATATAAGCAAGGACATTCAATATACAGTAGGATCCCCCTATTCACGGGATCAGTATCCACTGATTCCCTTATTCTCTGCCTAAAAATATTACCATAAAACTGTACCTCGAGTGTTTGTACCATAACTGGCCACTAGAGGGAGCCAGAGACAATGCAGTGTATAGCATCTGATACAGTATTTCTGTATTTTTCAGCATCCGTGGGGGGCCTTGGAGCTGATCCCCTGCGGATACCACAGTCCTACAGTACATAAAGCAAAAGCAAAGCGTGCTGCTTATATACCGCCCCATAGTGCTTCAAGCACTCTCTGGGCGGTTTACAAGTTAATTATGCAGGCTACACATTCTCCCCCCCGACCCCCAGCAAGCTGGGTACTCATTTTATCGACCTCGGAATGACAGAAGGCTGAGTCCACCTTGAACTGGGCTGCCTGGGATTGAACCCCGGGTCATGGGCACAATTTTGGCTGCAGTATAGCAGTTTAACCACTGTGCCATGAGGCTCTTCAATATACAGGTGAGAACATGATCTGATTTGGTATAGCTAGAGGAGGGATTTTAATTTATGCATGAAGAGCAGTACCACCTCTTTACGATTTCTATTTAGAGGCAACTTTATATAAGTTTAGATGAATATTTTACAGGTAGGAAGAAATCAAATACTATACATTTGTGTTTGTTTATTTCTAGGCATTAAAAGAGAGCTTTATCAAAGCCATTGGGGTTGGAATAGGTTTCGATCTTCAACGGATTGAGTTTCATGTCTCCCCACTGCAGCTGGAAGTGGAGAAAACATATAACGAGACAATTATGCTCTTGGATGGTGAACAAGAAAAGGAGTGGACTTTTGAGGTAAACCTGAAGATTACTTCCTAAATTTGTGACGTGTGTTAGCTTAGAAGATGACAGTATATATTTCACTGCTGTAAACTGGGTAGGCAAAATAATACATCTCGGATGTTTTGGAATGCAGCACCCATGATCCCTGATCATTAGCTGTGTTGGCTGAAGCTTCAGGAGAGGGTGGATGTAGTCAAAGAATATTTGGATGGATATCTGGCTACGGAGCCAGAGATCGGGACTTCCAATTCCCCACTATGCCTCTTGCGAAGTAAAGCCTTGGGCAAGCTGTGCAGTCCCAGGGTGCCTCCAGAAGAAGGGAATGGTGAACCACTTCTGAGTATTCTCTACCCGGAAAACCTTGAAAATGGTTGCCACAAGTCAGAACTGACTTGATGGCACATGATTATTATCATTGTTGCTTAATCCTGAGGTAAATACTTGAACTAGAATCATAGAATCATGCAGTTGGAAGGAGTCTATAAGGCCACCGAGTCCAGCCCCTTGTTTAGTGCAGGGTTTTCTTAAATGCATCATTAGAATTACCCTTCTCATCAACTATAGTCTCTTTCCCCCCCCCTAAATTTTGACAAGCAAATAAGTTATAAATACTTTGTCTGAAAAAATGAATTTCTGCTTAGATTTAAATCTTGTTCCATGACTTCTGAGATTTTCTTAAATAAACTTCTCTAATGAAGTTTCTCTCTCACACACACATACACACACATATACACAAACATTTTGTCCTTCAGAAATGCTTCTACAACTGCAGAAGTGATTGGAGCATCCATAAAGCTTTTAACATCTGTGGTCTATGTGACCTCATGCTAGTATCAGCGGTAAACTAACATTAGGCTTCTGTGCATTACTTATTTTAAATGGGAAATTATGTTAATGGGAGCCACTGAAAAATAACCTCCTAATTGCCAGTTTATGATTTGATGTTGTGTCAAAGTGAAGAATCAAAAAACAACAACAGGTGAAAATCGGTTGCTTCGTACCTTAAGTATAAGTCATGAGGAAAGTGCCTAGTTTGAATCATCCCCATTGAGTAGAAAGCAGTTTTTTAAAGACTATGAACACTGTTTTGTTTCTTTACTGATTTTTTTAAAAAAAATTAAAATAGGGTGAGAGAGAAGCCATGGTAGAGGGAACGAAAGGTGGGGATAAAGGGTACTGAAACGTAAGGGAAAACAAAATTTTGACACCTGTACAAAAGAAGTGATGTTGATAGCGTTGAGCCTTGTGTCACGTTGATTAGATTGCAGAACTGTACTGAGGACTCTGCTGAAGTACCTGGCTTGAGGTTGACTCAGCCTTCCAGCCTTCCGAGGTTGGTAAACTCAATACCCAGCTTGCTAAGGAGGGAGGCAATGTGTAGCCAGCATAATTAAACTGTAAACCTCACAGTAAGAGCTTTAAGCACTGTGGGGCAGTACTGTATATAAGCAACACCCTTTGTTTTTATCATCTAGAACAGTATTGGGCAACTTTTGTGTGTATAAAGGAAAAAAATTGTCCACCATGGATCACTCCAAAAGTCTGCAATGAAATACAAAAATCCCTTAAAACAAGTAGGAAATACTAATTTGGGTCAGTCTTCTGAGCTTACCTCCGGCGTTCAACAGTGAGCTGAAAACCTTGCCCTCTTCAGATGTTCTGTGCAGGTTCTAAAGGGCTTTCCATGGTTTGCCCCTAAATCTCAGCTCCAGGGTTGAAAGAGCCCTGTAAGAAAGGACTTCTAATGCAGTCAGTTCCCTGTGGTCTTTGGTCAATGGTTTCTTGTACTGCATGCAGCTGTGGATGTGGGGAGAAGCACCAGCACTCCCAAGCAATGCCAAGCCAGTGGACCTGGTCTCCATTTAAATAGCCCATTATGCCTCAGACCAAAGCTGTACTGGGAAGACTGCAGGAAGCTAAAAGCTGTGACTGCATCTAAATAATTAATTAGTTAATTAGTTAGTTAGTTAATTAATTAATTAATTAATTAATTAATTAATTAATCTAATATTATTTCAGTTAAAAGCCTTCTGGAACAGGAAGGTTTTGACCTGGCGCCGAAATGTCATCAGTGTCGGCGCCAGACGAATCTCAGTTGGGAGGGCAATCACTTCGACTGCCATAGAACCTGTAATTTATTTTGTTTTTAGTGTCCTGGGCAAATCTCAGGCTTGAGTCCTTTCAGAATATCATGGGCCCCAACAGCTGCCCATGGGGGTCAAGTGCTAGCACAGCATTAGAGGAGACATATCTTTAGCAAAATCAATTTTCTTTTTTTCTCTAGCAAAATTATGGCCGAACAAATTGCTGTGGCTTTTTTTTTATTATTATGGAAGGGTGTTGAAGTTTCAGCTTCAGTTTGCCTAGACTGCCAATTCTCCAGGCATCTTGAAAATTTTAGTAGTGAAATGAAACAAATGTTACGGTTCTGTAAATTCTTATTTCTTCTATCCCATGTCTGGTTAGATTTGTATCCTCAAACTAGAGCAGGGGTCTCCAGATTACGCCTGTGGGCCACATCCAGCCCAGCTTGCCTTTTTATCCGGCCCTGGCATATGAAGAGGAGGGAAGCCTGACAGAAGCTTTGCAAAGACAGCGGGGGGTGGGCAGTCGCTTCTGCCAGGCTTCCTTCCTCTTCCTCTCTGCACCCAGACATAGGAAGAGAGAACGGGGACTCAAGCTTGAGTCCCCCTTCCCTCCTTCGGCCCTTGAAAATGTGTAAAATATATGATGTGGCCCTCATACTGAAAAGTTCAGAGACCCATGAACTAGAGGCATGGTCCTTCAGTGTTGTCATTTCACTTCCCAAACAGGAAACCCGTCTGGACGATTGCCACCATGTTGCCGTTGCTCTGGAAAAAGCAGGAGACTTCGGGAGCAAACATGCTGTGGTAAATAGCTGTGGTATTTTCAGACTGTTTCTGCACATGTGCAGTCTGCAAGAGGAATGCTGCATTCTGAAAGACAGGATGAACGGCACATGCGCTGTCTTGCAAACTGATTTTAGAAACTCTCCAATTTATTCTCAGGGAAATTAAGAGTCAATATAAAGAATAATAATGGATCAAAATGGGAGCATTTTTCTCTTTTTGATGTTGGTCTGTGGAGATCTCCCTCATTGCAGTTTTGAAATCCTCCCCTCGCTTACCAAGGGCGCGAAAACGCTGCCCGCGGCCATTTTGGGTGTTCCGGCGGCCATTTTTGACCCGCTGAACAGCTGATCCGCGGGTCGCAAAGCGAAGGACGGTAAGCGAAACGCTTACCGATCTTGGCTATGCGAATTTCGCCCATTGGGGCCGACGCGATGCCTTCGCATTAGTGATCCCGGAAAAGGGATCGCTATGCGAATTCATCGCTGTACGGGGCGCTCGTTAAGCGAGGCACCACTGTATTTAGCAATTATATAAAGACAGTTAATGAATTTCATATGTATAGCAGAGCCCAGTATATTGTGTCCCTCAATGAACCATGGGAAGACAGCCGTTGTCTGAGAAGCGTAGAGGCGTAGAGACACATACCTTCCCTACTTTTAGAAATGATGTGGTGGCTTCTTCCTGAAGGAATATCAAAGGGAGATCCTGAGAAAGGAATTGCTGAGGAGCACCTTGGGAAAGAAAGTTCAAAGGAATACTAATTTAAATGACTCACTTTATGGCCCTTTGTGTGTTTCTTATATAGCTGTGTACTATCTTTGGTTTTGTAGACTCTCTTTACGTGCATCACTGTTGCATATATGGCTGTCTTTACTGGCCAGTATGAATAAATATTTTCCTAACCTTTCAATATGCCTCATTACAAATTCCTACCTGAAAAGCTCTCCACAAGTCCTCCAGCTCCTTGAGATTCCCATCCATATACATAAAATCCTTGCTTTCTTTCACAGTGGAGAGAGAAATATTGCCCTCTTTGTAATTCATTCATGGAACTTCTGGGCCTGCTTGTAACCATTCTTCGTTTTCTTGTAGGCACCCTACACCACCGTGACCCCGCCTGCGTTTACAAAATTGACTTTTCATGACCTGGTTGCCTCGGCAGTTCCTCTTGCTGCTGAAGACCCTGCTTGCTGGGATAACTTTTGTTCTAGGCAGGAATCGCCAGCACGACAGAGTTCTAATCCAAGATGAGAGCAGCTGTGATCGCAAGAAAATAAGTTGAAAGCCTTTAAAACCCACCCACTGTTCCTCTTCCAACAGTCAGTTTACCTGTTTGTTTTGGGGGAGAGGACAGTGCTTGGAAAAAAATGATTACAGCTCCCTTCCGTTTGCACCACTTTGCCTGCTTTATATGGAATGCTTTCTGCTTCAAATAACGCTGGGACTGGATTCTGATGAGAAAAGCTGGAGATTTTTCTGCTTTCTACCCACGCAGGTGTGATTATCCAGCTTCTCAGTCTCCCCTTGTAATGATGGAGATGGCATGGCCCATAATAAAGAACTTGGCACAATCATGTCCTCCAAACAAAAATCTCCTGTAATATGCACCACAAGGCCAACAGGCCACACTGTAAGTACGTCACCCCTGTTGGTTTTTGTGTAACAACGCTAGTCAAACAAGAAAGAAATTTTTAAAAGCTTGTGGAAAATCAAGAAACAAGGTGGGTAGTTCGATTATTGGACCATTAAAAATTCAGAAATGGATGAGTTTTATAGAACCCTTCATCAGGCTGGGCATGGCAGACCTGGGAAGTAGGAAGAGAAGTATAGTGCAAAAACTATACTGACTAGAGGTGAAGCTTCAAGTGCTGTGGTTTAAACAGAGGTCCGAATTGCAGGCTGCAAACTTAAAAAGATCAGTTTGAAGTGTATTGGTATTTCTAGGTATCACTTCAGGCATTGATAGTCAGAGGGCGACCACATGGGCATTTAGCCAATTGTTTGGTCCACTGCAGGGATGGGTTAGTTCGCTCCTAAAGATGGAAATCAGATGACCTTTTTGCCAGAACAAACCAGCCGATCCCCCAGAGTGATTCTACCTGTACTTTTCTGGTGCCTGTTGGGGGTTCTACATTTCTTATACAGGTAGGATCATTCTGTTTTGGTTCACTTCCAGCATCCTGGTCAGGTTCCAGGGAGCAGATAGCTCATTCTTTCAAAGTGCAAGCTTCTCCTAAGCCCTTTTATATCCTTACCTGGCTATCCTTCCCACAGTTCATTCCCCCGCTTACAGCTGTAGAAAATATCCACTGGGAGATCACGGGGCCAGTGGTTTCATGGAAACTACATATGTTTGAATGTATAACCTTTATTTTTTCTGAGTGTCTCAACATAGGATGGAAAAGATAATAATGCTAGGAAAAGTTGAATGCTAGGAAGGTTGTAGGAAAAGAAGAAAACCAAATTTGAGATGGATTGTTTCTATAATGGAAACCATAGTCCTTTATCAGTTATGGCTGTTTTGGACAAGATATTTGCTCTAAGTGGAAAGTGACTTGACAGCATGTAACCACAACCACAACCTTTTTTTCCATTTACTGTCTAATATGGGTGACTAAATTGTCAGAAATCAATCGAACTGTGTTTGGAATGAGATGTTTTGTTTGTACAGCAAGGGTGCAATAAAGACAAGTTCCTTTCTGATACATTTTCCTTCTTAACTAGGCTTCTGAGTTAGCTGCTGTTGGTGCTGTCACATAATTTCTTGCAAATCTTTAAGACATTCACCTTCTCTTGTTGCCCACATTGATCATTAAAACCACAAGGCACAGAAGCTATAAATCTCTCTTCCTTATGCTAGCAGGTATAAGCAGAATGATTTAATAACTCTAAATTCAGGACTACACAAAACTAGAATAGCTCCCATGAGATTTGTTAGGTTAAAACTCAGTGGCACCTCATTTATCCACAATGAAGCGTCTCAGTTCATTGTGGAGGTGACCTTTCTGTCCATGTTGCTGGCTGTCATGGTTTCCTTAATACTATCACATCACCCAGACCGCTCACAGAGAATACATAAAAATGCTAAAAGAATGTTTTGGGGGAGGGTTGAAATCCTAGATTTTTCTCTAACCATTTAGCTTGAACAGCAGTGATGATTTGGGGGGGGGGATGCACTTTTCCTGATGCAGCCTTCTGTCTTGAAATGCATATTTGTATGCCGGGGGACCGATTCAATATTTCTGTAGAAAAATGAGGAGGGCATCTTAATATGGAACGTGCAGCAAAAGTCCAAAATCTCATTCTTAAATAAAGTCATGCAGAGAAATAGCAGTACATATTAAGAGTATTGCAAGCATATTTCATATTTACAATAACTAGAGAAATTCTAACAGCGGCAAGTCATATTCTACTTTTTGCTTTTTTGCTATGCATACTATTGCACACCACATTCAGTGGAGTGTCTGTTATGGAGTACACACCAGCAGTAGTGGGTGGAGAGCAAAGGTCACCCTTTTCCTCCTCTTCTGCCATTGCACCCCTCTCTACGAGCTTGCTACCCAACACAACTGATCTTATGTCAGAAAACAAACCAGGGCCAGGCCTGATCAGCACTTGAATGAAGGACCCAACACAAAACACAAGGGGTATCCTGACAGAGCTAGTACAGAATTCTACCTGTAACTCTGCAGGGCTACTCTCTCCTATTTTCAGCTCCAACATCAGTAATCTCAAACAGGTGGTAGGGTTTCACTAGATTTAACCAACCCAACATGGAATACACACGAGGAGTTTTCTAAGCCAAGGCCAGCAGTACTGAGAGTGAGGAAACAAGATCCATCGACTTGTACACTCGCAGAATCTAGGGACAAAGCCTAAGGCATAGACAGTGCAATTATCAGGCAAAGCAAAGGAGGCCAGAGTTTAGGATCAGATTCCAACAGGGTCAAGGTATGTAGAGAGTTTATCCATTCATTCTAATCTACTGTGGACCCTCTACTTACAGAATTAATCCGTATTGGAATGGTGGCTGCAGGTCGAAAAGTCTGTAGGTCAAGTCTCCATTGACCTACAATGCATTGAAAAGTAATTCCATAACCAGCTAATTTTGTTCCACTGTATTCTATCTATCTAATATACCGCCCATCTGACTTGAGGCTACACTGGGCAATTTACAACAAAACAAAAGGCAAAACAATAAATAGAACATCTAACCATAGATGCTGTTGGTGAATCAGAATAAAATGCCTGTCAAAACAGCCAACTTTCAAAAAGCTTCCTAGAAATTGCCAGCGAAGGGGACAGGCAGATATCCAGAGAAAGTTGATTCCAGAGTCGGGGAGTGACTGCCAAGAAGGCAGTCTATTAATTCTGTGTAACTTTGTAGGATATAAGTGCCACCGGTGCACTACCTTCAGAACCATTTCTTTCCCATCTGCTGATACTGATTTATATGGGTATTCCATATTCTTGTGCAGGCTTCCTTTGATATATTAATATTTAAATTTGTTTCCCACACTGAAAGCAAAAGTGCCCAGCCTCTTAAGGAGCCACGGTTCTCTCCCACCCCAGGATGTGTCCTCATTGGGTTGAAATTGGGAGCAGGGAATCTTCATATTCTCCAGCGTGGGACTACTATACATTCTCCTGCATAGCTGTATATGTGCTGCTCAAACTCTCTTCTCACAAGAAGAGGGAAAGTTTCTTCTCACAAGAAGAGGGCTGTTTTCCTTTTGCAATGGGAGGGGGGAGGGGAGGACTGCAGGATCATTGAGAGAGAGAGACAGTCAGAGGTGAAGGTGGCAGGCAGGGAGGGAGCTGTGACTCATCGAGCAGCATTTTTTCACCTGTCACAGATGAGTGGACAAGTGCATTTTTCAAGCCCTGTAATATTCAATATTCTGAGGATAGCATTAATGAGTCCAACATAAGGCGCTGTTGGTCCTGATAGCTCATTGCTGGAACAGCTTTAAAAGGGATGCCAGCATTGCTCTCCAGCCATAAAGGTGTATATCTCTCACACACACTCCCTGTCCATCAGGCTGCTGTGGAAAGGATAAATGAGTCTTGCCAGAGGTCCGAACACAGAGCCACATTAAATTAGATCAAGGTATGGAAGGTCGCAAGTTGTCAACCTATTGACCTTTGTATCTGTGCGTTCAAAAAATTTGTGTCAGTAGGGCTTAATCAAGAGAACTTCCCCTGGGTTATACTTTAGCATACTCTTAGGCAGATTCTTAGGCATCCTTCATTCTCGTGAGACTATGGCAACGTGCTCTGTATTGAGGACTTGGAACAGCGTCTAGTGTGGCTGAAAAGGCCAATTCGAGAGTGACAATCCCTTCCACACTGAAGACAAATACAATCTGTCCCCTGTCCAGCTCCCTGATTTGGCTGCTTCTGGGACTGCCTCTTTGCCTTGGCCTGCTGAATAAGGGTCTCTTCAAATTGGGAGGGGACGTGATGCACCGTCTGCCTCCAGGCTGAACGGTCAGATGTCAAGGTTTCCCATCTGTTGAGGTCCATTCCTAAGGCCTTCAGATCCCGCTTGCGGATGTCCTTGTATCGCAGCTGTGGTCTCCCTCTGGGGCAATTTCCCTGCACTAATTCTCCATACAAGAGATCTTTTGGAATCCGACCATCAGCCATTCTCATGACATGCCCGAGCCAACATAGACGTTGCTGTTTCAGTAATGTATACATGCTGAAAATTCCAACTCGATCTAGGACTACTCTATTTGGAACTTTGTCCTGCCAGGTGATACCAAAAATGCTTCGGAGACAACGCATATGGAACGTGTTCAGCTTCCTCTCCTGCCATGCACAAAGGGTCCAGGACTTACTGCAGTACAGGAGTGTGCTCAGGACACAGGCTCTATAGACCTGGATCTTGGTATATGCCATCAACTTCTTATTCAGCCATACTCTCTTTGTGAGAATAGGATTACAGGCAGATTACAGATTAGGCAGATTACAGATTCTTCTAAAAGCCCTGTTCAAGCACTCAATTTCTGTGTTAAACAGAAAGAACAGTAGTGGCAATAGAGTAGTACGGTGGGAGTGCTCCCTCTCTGTGCATTTATTTAATCTGGAAAAAGAAAGCCTAAATAGGGCTTTGCAATGATTCTGACATTTACTTCCATCTGATCTGAAATGTATGAATCAGTGTGATATTGTTCTCTCAACAGCTCTTTGAAAAATGGATGGGTTAATGATTGGATGGAAATCCTGTCATTAAGACCATGCAACACTAGATCAGAACATTTCTGACTCATTTTACGGTTGTTTGTGAAGGCAAAGCCACAGTGAAAAAGGAACGACAAACAACAAAGCTTCCTAAGGAATACTGCTGCGAAATACACAATCTGTAATTGTGCTAGGATTTTAATGTTTACATCTAAAATTGCATATGGACTTGAGAGATGTGAAACATGTAATCTTATTCACTTACAAAGTCACATAAGGACAATTGGATAAGCATTTCTCACCCTCTGGCAAGCTGCCTTTCACATCTGTGGTCTCACTCTGATGGCAAGATTAGGCAGGTAGCTAGCTGGGGCCTAACAGAAAGAAAAACTGCTATACAACTGCTATTATGCACAATCAAAACAGCAACAGAATTTCATCTATGATCAATAACTCGCTTTCCCTTTTACCAGGGACTTATGCGCGGGGGGGGGGGGGAAATGATGTGATTGCCGTGAAATATGCTTGGAAATATTCTTTTAAAATATTTTTAAAAGTCACACTGCAAACAAAGCTGGGGTGGAATGTATTTATGAGCATTTGCTTCTCAACATTTACTGCAACGTTGTGGTAAGAGCCATGAATATAAACTCTAATGTTCTCATTAGCATTTAGATAATCATTGTAAATGCTGGTTAGATAAATAAGGGCTCTCAAGATTGCTAAATGGCTACTAATAGTAAGAACAACATCCCACTTACCTGAAGTGAGTTGTTTATTCCTATGCAGAATTAACTTGTTAACAGACATGTTGTCATTCCTATTCTCAAACAACCCATACTCAGAAATAAATAATAACAGTACTGTGATTAAAGTCATCATTTTAAAGTTTTATTTTATCTTCCAGTCTTGTAATTCTACCATTAGTAAGGCATGCTTCCTTGGCCTATAAGGGAAGCATCACCCACATGATATTTGGGGGCAGAGAGGGGAAGAGAACTCATCTCCCCCACTCAGAAAGGCATTGTCAGCTTGAGATATGCTGAGACCATGCCTTAAAAAGTATTATTAAATAAAAGTGAATGAATTTAAATCTCTTAAGCAAAGGCCAAAATCCTGTTAGTTACAGCCATGAACATAATTTATGTATTATAACCGCCACTACTCTGGGCGGTTTCCTGCAATAAAATAAAGATGAAGAAAACAACGAAATCCCGCTCAATCCACAAATTATAAAACTTTAAAAGTACTGTATAATAAAAGTACATAAGAGCCCTGCTAGATCAGGCCAAAGGCCCTAGTCCAGCTTCCTGGATCTCACAGTGGCCCCACCAGATGCCTCTGGAAGCACATGAGACAACTAGATACCTGTCTCCTGATACCCCTCGCCTGCATCTGGGAACAACAAATCTAAAAACCCAAGATAGCAGCAATTAAGAAGATACAAACTGTAGAATACGATGAGCAAAATAAGTGATTGATAATTATCAATGGAGCATATCCTGAAATACTTCCCTGA